GCACTTGTTCCTAGAAGCTTCTTGTTACTACTAGTAAGGCACTTGTTCCTAGAAGCGATGCACTTGTTCCTAGAAGCTTCTTGTTACTAGTTAGTAGCGCCATGGCCTCCAACCTACTTGCGATGGCCTCCACCTAATAGATCCTAATAGCGTCCATAAAACACCCTCCCCCAGTCCCTCTCCGTCGAAGATACTGTTTTTGTCTCAGTGCCACCATTCCACCGGTGATGACCGACGGCACGGATGGCAAACGGCCCGTGGCGCTTGGGCCCGTCTGGGCTGCGAAGATGGGGTTCGAAGCAGAGAATCTCCAAACGGTTGAAAGGAGTCCATGGAGGGTGATAGCAATTGATGGAGGCATCACAACATGTTTCATAGCTTTCTCATATTTCTCTTCACCAGGAACATGCTACAGTGACTATAGTGCAAGAGGAGTGACCCACAACAGCGCTTGAAGTGAAGAGGATCGATGGTCGATGGCGCAGCCGCCTTCTAGGCAGTTACAGCAGAAATATATACTACAGCTAGTACGAGGCATATGCAAACCATCCAGAAATGGGCTACGCCGGGACAGTGGGATGCAAGGAATTTCTGATGATGTACCGTCATCCGTCTTCCAGGACAACTGAATACTTAGTGATAGTGCATCTATCTATTGCCATGACCAAAGGCAAGGAGATTCACCATGATTTCTAGATTCACAACTTGTACAATATGCAACATTGTCTTACAATGTAGAGATATGTAGAGCAGTTCATTGCTGGACTTGCAAGTGCGCATGTGAGTGCCTCTTTGATATCCTTTTGCGCCACTCTTAGATCTTCCCTCTTCATTCATTTCATATCAATTGAGCGTGCTTTAGCAGCACCAGATGACTTGACGACTGCATGGCGGCCCGGACGCATCGCAGCAGTCTGGGAGATCAAGAGCACGTCCACCCAGGCGGTAAAAATGGCCTGGTGAGGGAACCCTGGTAGCGATGCCCTTTGTTCCTAGTAGCTTCTTGCTCCTAGTAGTAAGGCCTGGAGCCCCTAGTAGCTTGATGTTACTGGCAAAATGCAATCGTGGCAAGACCTCGCTAATGGATGCTAAAAATGACTGCCCCAATTTCTGCACTCCACGCCAATTCCTTCACCCTTAGAATCAGAATGTTGGTTGAGGCCCATGATTTCGGGTGCTCAGTGCCTCTAGCTTTGCACCCTGCTAACTCACTGCGTACAACATGCAGCAACAACATGTGTATATACAAATATTACATATATAGAAATGGCCCAGTGTCCGACTTCCTGCCCACAAGCCAATCACTGTTTAGTTGCTGACTTTTTCTGGATACATTTCCCTCAACAATAAATATGCCAGTGTCTTGTCACTCCGCTCACCACTCGTCTCTCCACCGGACCGTCTGCACTCCGAGAGACTGGTCCCCACCTGGAGTTGCGCTGCTTGGCACAGGCCGTCCACTGTGTCACAAAGGGAGCGGCTGCCTGCACTGGAATTACACACGGAAGGCGGGCTGGACCAGCCAGGTGATTTGTCTGTTTTAATCCGACAGAGTTCGAAATTGCCCAAAGCACCTGCTGATTCTGTTTTCTGAGTTTTCTGGTTGGTTTCTCTTTCAATCTCTTCCATGGTGTTGATCCAACTTCATGATCCTGATTCATTTGTTGTGTCTGAGATACACCAAACGACAGCAGCAAAGAAAAAACACACACTTTCTTGAGGGGAAATGACCTTTCCCAAGGCGTGTTGGAAACCCTCAAAAACCACCCATGGAACTTGACCCTGAGGTTGTGGGTGCCATCTACTTCAATGCGTCAGCTTTTTGCATCGCCTGGAATCGTTTGGATGTAAAAAGCTCAATCCTACCCAGAGTTTACATCGCCTCTGTGCATCTCTGGGTGCCCAATCCCCTGGCCCAGGCCCCTGCTGAACCAGTGGACCTGTCACGAAGCGCTTCCGCAACGCTGCGGCCTCTGAAGTGCTGAGCATTGGCTACACGGTTCTATGGATGGCTCTGCCACAATTGACTGCAGTTTAAACGAGTTGTTCGGACATGTTCGAGCATGTTATTGTTCGGCCAAAAACAACATCTGCACAAATGTTCAAAGAAGCAGCTGGGACAAGTGATGGGTCTGGCACTCCTCTACCACTTTAATGCGTGAGTTGGTCGTTGAATTATCAACTCAGCAGTGATGCGTCCCTCTGGCCTTCACTGTACGATGCCAAGCGAAGAGTGCAGACATCAATAAGGTGCTGTCAAAATGGAATACCTAAGGCCAAATCCGGTAGGGAAGTCGTGCGAAGGACTCGACCGCCGGAGAAGATGATGCCCTTGGCCAAGGATGCTGTTGGCATCTTCCATACAACGGGCAGGTGAGGTGTGACCCTTCTGAAATGATGTACTTTACGTGAACAGTTTTTCGTAAGTTCGGTCATTTTCCCACAGGTCCCCCTTTTTTTACGCACATCACATAAATTTATGTTTGCCCAATCTACCAAAAACACACGGGTAGAAACGACTGAGATGGACAGTACTATGAACGTAGTAATATGATTGTTGTGTGTAGATGAAGATTAAGATGAGCTTGTTATAGCGTGAGTTGTGAAGTCTACAAGGCTTGAATCCAACAAAGAAAATTTGCCTGGGTGAGGTAGTACAAGCAACCAATGTAGGAAAGAAGGAATAGAGGAAAGGAAGAGGAGTGATGGCCTATGATCTGATGCAGCGTTGTTTCGATTTCATCCTTGAACATCATTTCAAGCTGCAAATGGAGAATCTGAAAAGGAACACGTGAAGACCCGATGATTTGGCTGCCAACTTGAACACTAATATCAACTGGTAACTGGTGTTAATTCTTCCAACATACACTTTTGACGAGGGGTCCCAAACCAGCGCCACTCATGCACGAGCACCATGCGTTGCATTGCACAACAGCGCCCTTGTCGTTGCTCCGCACGTGCTGCCACCGCCTGGATGCGACTGGCGCCCAGGTGAGGAATCCTCAAAGCGAATGTTTGGAGCAAACTAAATGTAGACTCTTGATATCTCTTGATTAATAAAGCTCTGCCATATGGTTCATACTATTCATCCAGGGTCTACATTACTTTGGCCCAGGGCATGGGACATGCACTAATAGTGGTCACAAGCACAACTTCTGAAGTGGTCTTCCACGGGGCCGCTGTGAAGCGGCCACCCCGTCCTGAGCCACTATCGGGTGGTCCAGGGACACCCTGGACCCCAGCTGTGCCAAATGACAAGTTACGACATGTTCAACTAGCAGATACCTCAGTATTTACTTTGCGGTCAGGGAAAGTTCTGACTCCCAAGCACTCAAGAAGTCAGGAACTCTCCCACCACACCAACAATGAGGAGCCACACGAACATTGTTTTCCGTGTTCGTCAGATACTTTGTTGTGATGAGCCACTTGATCAAACACACAAGTAAGCGTCTATATGAATACTGTGTATATATATATAAACACAAGCTCACCACCACTACAGCCATCTAAGAGCAAAGTTCTAAGAGGGACTACACCGGGTTAAAAGTAGATGGCGCGGGCTGCTTGGGAGATTTCAGGATAGATGGCGCCGGAAAGGCCACCAAAAAACCGAGATGCAATCACACCATTCACGCCCTTTTCACTGTGGCCTTGCGCCATCTATAAAGGCTGTGGAGGTAGACAAACCTGGGGGATAAATGGCACAAGTACTAAAAGCCGACATCATGCACTTTTACCCATGAGTATATAATGCTTCTCAAAGAAAAACTGTCCTGAACTTCATTGAACTTCTCCATTTAACCGCCTTTCCATCCTGAGCTTTCAGCCTCAACCCTCTCCCGCTTCGCCTGCGTCTTCTGGAGAGCTAAACGCCAGGCATTCCAAAGCACTGACCGATGGCAAACCTGCTTCGAAAGAGACCAGTGTGTGCTGAGCCTTAATTGCAACAATAGGGTGAATGGAGGAACCTGTTCATCATGTTCTGTAATATTCTGTACAGAAGGAGCTCGAAAATTCCATTGGAATCTATGGGACGAATCCGGACCGCGTCCCAAAACTAAAAGAACGAAGAGGAAGAACGCATGCAAACGATTGAAAAAAACACGGCTCTTGAAAGGAAAAGGCCGGCAAGGAATGAGCGGCTGTGCGCAAGTTTCGGAAGTGTACAGCTGCGGTACAGGGGCCACATTCTTTTGGAGTAGCAAGCTGTAGTCCCTCTTCATTCACAGGAGAGATACTGTGTCGAACAAGATGTACGAGTGTCCCAGCACGCGTCTCTGTGTTGAAGTGTTCGCTATTAAAACAATTATACTGACTGGTGTTTTGGTTTTGGAGAGGTACTTGGATGTGGAACAAAAAGAATGCTCCGCTAAAATAAAGTAGCAAGCCACAAAGGACCCTTGAACATGACAATTTGTTTCCAGGGTGGATTTCCTGAAGGCTTGATGAATTCTCGCCAAGTATGGCTGTATGGCTCACTTCTGTTCTGTTCCACAACCGGAGAAGGTCCGGAAATAGATGTGAATGGATGTGAGATGATGTGAGTGGATACCTTCTGCTTCAACCTGAAAGTTGTAAGGTCATATCATTCTCCTTCCAGTCTACGGTAAAGCCTCAGTGCGGTGACAGGCAAAGAAGTGGCTGGAGCTTCCACGTGCCCTTTGGGACTTCCAACCTTTCTGGGCCGCCCCTCAGTCACGGCCGCTCAGCCTCATCCTGACTGATGTAGTAGATCATCTTGGACATCGCCTTGACGGTTGGAGGCAAACACATCGGCTGAACATCTTCCTGAATGCCCCTTGTCACAGGTCCAGTCTTCACCAGGAAACTGAAGCAGCAAGAAACTCCGGAGTCGCAAAACCACCGACCCGGGCACTTTGGTACAGAAAGCCGTTGAACAGTTAACAGAATACCAATCTACTACTTGACCTGGCCGGGTTGATAGATCAGTACACGTGCTCAAGTAAGTGACGACAAGTGATGATTGAAACCATGAACATGCATTGGTCAGAATGAGTCTCTGTTGCCACAAACAACGACGTCAACAACAAGAACAACTATAGTGGCACTGAATCTAAAGAAGGAACATGATGGAGATGGTCTCCGAAGGATTCATGCCCAGAGCTGGTCTTTTTTGGGGGAATACTTGCATCTCTTGGAATGCATCATACTCATTTCATCACCATACCATGAGGAACTCAATCACATCCGGAAAAAACAAACGTGGAAAGCCTAGCCGGCCTAGCCATCACCCGTTGACCTGGCCTGTGTGCGGCGCCGGCGAACCTGTACCAACACACGCCAACGGTAGATGCTCAAGCGAAGGCATAGGCCCGCCTCCTGCGAGTTGCCAAGGTCTTTTTCTCTGGCAATGCATCAATTTGAACGCTCGGTTGCAAGAGTATCCCCGGTACAAGTAGTGTAAAGGATCCGGTTGGGTTCTGGATGACCAAAACTGAAGTTCATCTCTTTTCGAGGACCTGTTGACACGTTGTTTCAGCCTTTCCCCAAAAGGACTAAATAAATTAACACTAGGAACCCAAACACAAGCTTAACGTGGCCGAATGGGTTAAGAACAAATTTCACTTGATCGACATTGTCCGATCC